AAAATAAAATAAAATTAGTGTGACTTCACCATTTCTTGACGCGACAACGACCATGTACAAGTGTTAAATTTGTGTGGCCTTCACCAATTTTCGTGGTCACAGCACAAGCATTTTTGTTTGGGCCTAATATATTCCATGTCCTTATGGACCTTCACAATAACCCAACCCATGTAAGGGACCCGAAAACCCGATTTGGGCTTCAGGCTTAATTTACATCCATCCTGCGCAGGACATCCAAACGACTGCTATTACTTGGTCAGCTGTCATCATAAAACTTAGGTGGCAAGTAAGATGCACTGCATGCATGCCTTTGCTTTGCCAGCTAATTTTGATTTGTTAGCTTTGACTCGCAGCAACTTGGAGAGAGAGATAGAAGAATAAGTAATTAGGAGTACGTAGTGTAATCTCACAAGCAAAGCACATGAGGAAATTATGGTGAAATGAAAAGGAATCCCCCCCCCCCCTTTTTTTTTAAAGGTCAATGTCTTAGCCACTAATTAAACCCATCATGATCCCATGGTAAAAAAAAAAAAACTAATGATTTAAATGATTCAATAATAATATACTTTTATTAAAAATAAAAGATTTTGAATTCGAATTATATAATATGTGATAAAGTAAAATAAAATTTGAGAGAGTTATCTCTCAGCAACCCAACATCAAATAATAATAATAATAATAACAACATAAACATAGTTATTATTATAAGTTACAAATTTATAATCTTAGATAAATTAAGATATGTTAACTTATTTGATACCATATAATTATTTTTTTGATATATCAAAAGATTAATTATTTAGTATTATAGAAATTTGAATATTTTATCTTAAGTCTAAATAAAAAAAAATTTTAATTAGTAGTATCAATTTTTCAAAGCTTTTGCTAGTTGATATCTTGTCATTATTATTAGAAATTTCAGAGATTCCATTAGTTCTATAATATTCTTATTTTGAAATTTCAAGTATTAAATTTACTAATAAACAAAAATATCATTTTTTATATTATGTTAGATTTAATATTTAAATCTTGAGATCTACACTGAAAGAAAATTAATTTTTTTAAAATGTTTCAAGTTGATATATATATGTTTGTTTAACTCACATAAGGAAAGATTTGTTTCATAATACATAAAAAATTGATTCAAAAACACTCTCACGGTAGAAAGAAAAATATTATTATTTTTAAATATATTAAATCACATATATCAATGGAAAAATAAATAGAAATAAGTTGATAAATATATAGAAAATAGTAAACTAGAAGAATCGATCAAACATATGACCATTCTACTAAACCCACATAAAATTCAAACATGGACATGTCATCCTCATCGCAACTTCATTTTATATTTCTCATAGGCCTAACCCATAATTTGTACACCGAAGCATCTATTCAATTATTCCCAAAATTCCATCGACTCCGCGTTATAATCATCCCTATATAAATTAACCCATCAGCTTACAAAAACACATTTCTCGATCATTAATTCTGCTTTGATTGACTACTAAGCCATATGTACAAAACCTCCATGCTAAGCCGCCTCAAGAGAGCTGTGAAGAAGGTCACCTTCCTGCTCAACTTCAGCATCAATCGCTGGCGAATCGCCTCCATGATCGGAGCTCATTCCATCAGGCACCGGCAGTTTAGCTTCAATGATCGGCCGGGACTGAGGTCCTGCACGGACGATTATAATTTCGATGATTCTGTTTCGTGGTCGGATTCTTCGCCGCTGAGATTATCTAGGACGACGAGCTTTCCGTTGGAAGACGATGTGGATAAAAAAGCCGACATTTTTATAGCGAATTTCCACCGGCAACTTCAGATTGAACGGCAGATTTCTCTGGAGCTCCAGTACTGCCGTGGTAACAGTTTCAACTACTCCATTTCCCCATGACATGATTGTTGATTTTTTGGATGAATCAATTAATTTCAGAATTTGGTGATGGAGCCTGGATTTTATTAGAGGTTTCTTCTCAATTATTGACATTACTCAGCAATCAGAACAAATCAGGATTCTTTCCGATCTCCAGTTTTATGTAAATTTTTTGTGTGGTGAATTTTTTTCTTTTGTTATCTCTTTTTTCATCAACATCCATTACCCTTGTCCAAGTCAGTTTGACATTTCCTTTTCCCTTTTTCTTTTTTTCTTTTTTTTTACAAAAAATAATTCAGTGTCGGGTCAAATTTTTATGTCGCCTCTGATGAATCCTCCAGCACGAGTGTGTTTTGTAGATTCTTTTAATTCCATGTATTTATTATTTCATTCATTAATGGATTTGTATTAAAAGTGTAATATTTGTTTTTGTTTTGTTTCGTTTTTTTATTTTGAGAGGGGGGACAAGCTAGACGACCTTATTGGTTCAAACTTCAAACTCTTTGTTGAACCGTGTCCATATGAGGGTGCGAAATCCTTTTTTTTTTTTTTTTGGTCAGTAATTTAGCCAATAACTCAACATGCCTTCCCTGTAATATTCACATATTTTGTGGACCAGTTTGGCCGTGATCTCAATTTGGTCGGAGGTTAACCACATTTTTGTTTTCGTAATGTGAATTGAAATTTCATCGTATAAATTAATAAAAATAATAATCTCATTGAAATTTTATTTTTGTGATCAGTTAATTGGGTTAAGGTTATTGTTACCAATAAAGTTGTATACTAAAACTTGTTCCCTTCCAATACTTTAAATAAAATTAAATAATTCTTATTCCCTTCCAATACTTTAAATCAATTTAGATTACATAGCACCATTTTTGTATACTAAAACTATAAAACGTAATAATTATGGTGTTTGGGCTCTGGAAACCATTCTTGAGGAGCGTAGAAAGCCCATACCTATCCTGGGCTCTACTTAAAATGGCCCAGACCTTTCTGATAGACTGAACCAGAATATTTAAGAGGACAATGGTATGGATATACCTTTCGGCCCTCACCTCACATGCATTGGGAAAGTGGGAAGTGAATAAATATGGTCTAGTTTAGTAGTGATTTATGGTGAATTCCCAAATGAGAGTCCAAAACAGTAGAACTTCCTCGTGATATAATGGTTATATTTCTGTTGTAAAGAACTTTTTATATAAAGTTTAGTAGGTGTGATGTTTGAACTTCAACCCCAACATTTAAAAAAAAAAAAAAGAGACTCCAAAATATTAATTATATAACCTATGTTTGGATTGATTGAATGCAAGAAATGAAAAAGGGAAAAAAGGGGATTGAAACAAAAGGGTAATCACATTCCCTTCGGTAAACTATGAGTAGATAGGAACGCCAAGACCACAAGGGAGTTTGATAATTGATATATACTCATTTGGTTAACTATAGCTTGACTTTGTAAATAAACTTATAAAAAGGTAATTTTTTAAACTCAATTTAGGATGAGATTATCACTACCAATGTTTTTGTTAAGACCATTAACTTTATTTATAATTTTTTTAAATAATTAATTATAATATTTAAAAATATTTATTTATAGATTGGTTTTAATTTATTAAATATAATTATTAATTATTAATTTTTTTTAACAATTAAAATAAAATAAAATTTTAACAAAATTTATGATGACTATAACCATTCCCCACGACCTAAAAGACTTGTTTATGAATAAATAGGGGGTATGAAAATTGGAAGACCACCAAACAAATTAAAAAATATTTCTCCTGTTTTTGATCCGCGTATTCTGACCAGCAATTTCCGGGGGTCAGCCGCAATATTGCTTTTTGTTCAAGCTTGGTATATAGAGCGTAACAAAATTAAAGAAAGCGAAGGCCCCATGGCATGCGATGATCTTGCAAATCCACCTAATTACGAAAAGTTGAGCACAGCCAACGTTAGGCTTAAATCCACAAGCCTCCCCGGCTAGCTAGTATTTCTTGGTCTCCATTGAAACTGCCAAAATCTCCCTAACTTAATTTAATATGAATTGCGGAAATGGAATAACATTCCTTCCATTTTCCTCAAAATCTAAAATCTTCAAGGTACTTAAAATTAATCATACATATTAAAAGTCGTATGTCATATTTTGTTAGAGAAATAACAAATAGGATATTCAATTATTTTTTTTAGACAAGTTTATAAATAATTCTAATATTTTATGATGAAAGAGAAAAGTAATCTCAAAAATTTAAACATTAAACTCGATGGTATATTCATTTAAAGAGTAAGTAACGAACCACTTACCTCTATCATGTGAAACCGAATATTTAATTATTGTTACTAACAATCAATAATATTTACATGACTTGTTCATGATATTCTAATTTCCATATGATCACATGAGAGGGCACAAGGGTACATTCATGCTTTTCATACATTTTCCTGCATTTACTCCACACTTTCCCACAGTCACGTTTCTTTATAAGCTTAAAAGTCAAAATGGTATTCCAAATACTACGAAAGTGACAACTTAATGCGTTGCATCTAAGAAACTGTTCCCAATTTTCTTAAAAATGATGTTCATCCATACTTCACCATAACTGATTTCCTGCGGAATTCAGGCATCAAAAAATCAATGAAATCCTCAAGATTCTATGGGCGGAGGTCATTCCTTCTCCCCTCCATCTTCTTCATCTTGTTCCTATGCGCCTTAGCTTCTATCAACGAAATTCGATTTGACAACTTATTACGGTTCGGAAGATGTTCTCTTTCTTCGATTCTCTCCAACAACACTTCCCATCAATCGTACACTTCTCCAACTCAGGATCAGAACTCATCCTCCGATGATATCAGAATCCTCATCGGAATCCTGACCCTCCCTGACCAATACCAGCGTCGCCATTTCCTCCGTATGATATATGGCACGCAGTCTCCAGTCGGTGCAAAGATCGATCTGAAGTTTGTCTTCTGCAACCTTACGAAGGAAGATCAGAAGGTGCTGGTGGCCCTAGAGATAATGCGGTACGATGATATTATGATCCTTGATTGCAAGGAAAACATGAACAAGGGCAAGACTTATACCTTCTTCTCGAGCTTACCAGAGTTGTTCAATGTTTCCGATGGTAGCGGCCCTTACCCGCCGTACCATTACGTGATGAAGTTAGACGACGACACATATCTTCGGTTGGGAAGCTTTGTGGACTCGTTAAGGCCGTTGCCGAGGGAAGACTTGTACTACGGTTACGTTATTCCATGTTCGAGCATGGACCCTTTCGTCCGTTACATGTCCGGTATGGGATATCTGGTTTCTTGGGATATTGCTGAGTGGATCAGAGAGTCTGATATTCCAAAACAGCATTTGGAAGGGCCAGAGGACAAGGTGTTCGGTGAATGGCTCAAAGAAGGTCGCCGTGGAAAGAACAGGCACAATGCGAAGTGGTCTATGTACAATTATCCTGACCCGCCGACAAGATGTACCCACGAACTGTGGCCAGACACGGTGGCCGTGCACTTGTTGAAGAATCAAGAGAAGTGGATCCGGACGTTGAAGTATTTCAATGTTACTAATGGTTTAAAACCATCCAAGCTATACCACATACCTTAGGTATTAAACACACTATATATACCATTTTTTGGTTAATTCTTTTGGATTTTGAATTATAGTTACATAATTATACAAAGTTGTATTTGGTGGTGGTTATGTCATGTCATCAATTCGACATTGATAATGGAATTGGAAGGATGCCTGATTGAGGGACCATCCTGAAAATAAAATCTTATTTGAGATCAAAACAAACATTTTTGCAGAATATAAGGATCAAATTTCACACAAATAAATCCTAACAAAATCCGGCCCTCGTCAAGTCCAAACAAGGTCAAACAGGCCGAGACGGCAAGACCCACCCAGATATCCATTTTCGGCCCAAATCCTAAAAATCGATTTCAAATCCTAATTTCTAAAATCCCAAAATCCCCTAAAACCCTTTACCATCAGTTCTCGTTCTGAAGTCTCAACCACTTCATCTCAGGAATCCAAGTAAAGTTGAAGACTTCTAGCTTTGTTTCCGTCATTATTTGTTTCAATACCACCTTCTTCATCGCAATTTGCAGAGAAGTTTGAGGTCTCTGGGAGTAGGTAAATTTTGTATTTTGTTGTTGTTATTTTCAATTTGGATGTTTTGAATTGTTCTTAGTATATGTATATAGTTCCAATTTTTTGGATTCCGGATTGTGGGTATTAATATCATTGGTATATTGAAATGTGGGTTTGATATATCCTATTGCAATTTGGGTGTTTTGAATTGTTCTTATGGAGAGCTCTCCTTGTGTAGTTTTGAACTTTTATCACGATGGGCAAAGGACCGACACCATTTGCAAATATTGGCAAACATGCAAAAGGTACAAGCTGCATATCCGTATAGTATGCATTCATCATTGAATGCCAATTGCTTATCGATATTGGTGAAGGCATTATATGGATTGATGGAGGACATGTTTTGTTCAGAATTCTTTTTGCATAAAGTGATGAACTTTTTTCCCCCTGTGTTTCAGATCATGATAAATGTGGAAATTAATGTTACCATTCAAATGAAATGTTTTTGGTCCAATAGAAATTGATATGGTCAGTCATCCAGTGTCAGAAGAACTTGAAGTCTTTCAGGTTAATCTGTCAAAGAGTTGATTCGTGTTAAACTAATCAGATGAAATTTCCATATGGTAGTGCTCTTGAAAAATATCTTCTAGGTCTCCATGTTATGTTTTAACTTTTGGTGGTTGCCAGTTTTCGGCACTGTTATTCTTTTATCTGTTGTCGTGAATTGATGTGGGATTTTTGAGACTTGCCACCATTTCTTGCTAACTATTGATTACAATTATTCATGTGTTTTGTTATGCAGACCTGTTGACAAAAGATTACAACTTAGACCAGAAGTTTACACTCTCAATGCGGAGCTCTACTGGAATGGTAATTTTTCACTTAAATTTATTGGATATCTATTATTCTTTTATCTGGATGCTTGTCCATCTACTTGAAATTTAACTTTCTCTCTTTCTGCTTTAAAATGCTATCGCTTGCCTTGATAAACAATATGCTAGAATATTTTATGAGATAGAGATGGCAGTCTCTGCTACATGCATTTCCTCAACACAAGATTTTTCTTAATTTTTTTACATTGTCCCTGAGAGGATAAGACTTTTAATGCATCATCGAAGCTTCCATGTTAGCATTTGTATCTGCCAAATACTTGAGTGTTTGAATATATTGTTGCTTGCAAACAAAGAAAAGAAGAAGAAGTAGAAGAAGAAATAAGATGGGTAAAAATCTTAGTCACTTCTCAATCTAAATAGTTTATTTATTATTTTTACTTCGTTTCTTAATGGATGTTGGATGGAAGGAGTAGAAGAAAATTCTTATTTCAAATTATGAGAATGTAAAGTCTAGGGACTGAAAAGTCACCTCATACTTAAAATTTTAACAGAATTGTAATTTAACATTTAGAAAGAAGTATTTAAATTCCAGTCACCCAGATTTTCTTGTCATCTAATGTCTTTTAAAATTTTTATGTAGGGTTTTACAGCTACAGGTCTGAAGAAGGACCAAAAGTTTTTTGGTGACATAAATACCGTCTATAAGAGTGGAAGTACTAGAGTAGATGTGAAAGTTAATACCTATTCTAATGTGAGGGAAGTTCTTGCTTTTAGGACTAACATTTGGTGCTGTTTCACTTACACACTAAAGAATTAATACATGGTTAATGTTCTGTTATATGGGCCACTCCCAACTCAACAGTTTTGTCATTTCCTCAAATTTTTAGGTGTCTACAAAGGTGACTGTGAATGATCTCTTGCCAAGTTCCAAGGTGGCCTTTAGATTCAAAACTCCTGATCACAAGTCTGGCAAGGTCAGTGAATAACGTTGTGTACAAGGAAAATAATAAAAACTTGAAGGTTATTGTCTGTTCATCACATGCATTTCTGCCAAGACAGCTACTGTTCTTCCAGTAATTTTATGACAGATTTAATCATCCACCTGTACTGTGTTCCTGTATGCTTGGTTACTTGAACCAAGGGATTGGGACTTGTGTGGTGGCATTTCATGATTCTTGTAGGCTTAGAATATGGGACTTAAATTTCAGTAAAATGAGGAAACCAATTGAAGGGTCTCAAATGAAGTGGAATAAGATGGCTGCTTCAAAAGAAAAAATGTTCCCTAATTTACATGAAAAGGTTGAGTGGTTAGAAAAATGGAGGAGAATGACGAGTAAAAGGGGAAATTAGGCTGAAGAAAGAGAATGGTAGTTCTTTACTTCTTTTTCCTTGTTGTGTGTCATCTGACTAACCTATATTATCTGTCTTTGCTTATGATATATCATGTATGGAACACGTTCCATATATGTGCTTGGCAAATTTGTATTATTTTGGGAGAGTGCATGGTTTTATGGAAATACAAAGATGACTTTTGGAATATTAATGGGCCATATTTGACATGAATTCCTTATTCTTAATAAATCCTAATTAGTCCTTGAAGTTGAGATGTAGATATGACTGTCTTCTGTTCATTAACCAGACCGTGTCTGTCATTTCTGAGCTTATTATCCTCTATGTATTTTCTGTTACCGGCAACAACTTGTTTGTCAGTGTTTGAGCTTTTTACCTAATCAGCCAATCTGGTGCTAGGTTTATATAATATTAATTCAGTTTACTTATTAAGATGTATGATTTTTTATCTGACCTACAAACATCTGACTGTTTCTGTACATCATATATCAGCTGGAGATTGAGTATCTCAATCATCATGCTGCCATTGGTTCTAGCATCGGCCTCAATCCAACTCCCCTTTTGGAGCTTTCAGCAGCAATTGGAAGCAAGGATCTTGCTTTGGGTGGCGAAATTGGATTTGATACAGCTTCGGCTTCTTTTACCAAGTACAATGCCGGGATTGGTTTCAACAAGCCTGATTTCTCTGCTGCCCTTTTCTTGTAAGTACTTATGGACAACCTGGTCTCTTTCTAAGAGTGCATGTTTTCTTTACTCAAGCATTTTAAGGAAACAACTTTGTATTAATTAGTTCAAGGCATTTTAAGGAAACCAGTAATTTTGTCTAGGTTTATGGTATTGTTAATCACAATTGGGTGGACTTCTGCCTCATACCTATGTTGTGTTGAAAACGTGTATGATGTGATTTATTGTAAAGTGGGGAAAGGCTATTCGGGAATGCTTGAAAGTAGTGGTATGGGCTAGGGCATAGGTAAAATGGGATTTGATTGTATGAGCCAATACTATGCATAAATGAGGTTCATGTAGTTCTTTTGCCTTAGCTTTTGCTCGGGTTTTAGTTGTCCAATATCGATCCATCTGTAGTAATGTATGGATGCATATTTTTTATGCAGGACGAATAAAGGACAGGTGCTGAAGGCATCTTACATCCATTCTGTTAATCCATCCACTTCTATTGCTGCTGAAATGACCCATAGATTTTCAACTTTTGCAAACAACTTCATCATTGGAAGTTCCCATGCAATCGATCCTCTCACAGTAGTAAAAACCCGATTCTCTGACAAAGGGAAGGTTGCGATGTTATGCCAGCATGAGTGGAGGCCTAAATCACTTATAACAGTTTCAGCAGAGTATGACTCAAAGTCTATTAATACTGCCACAAAAATGGGGCTTACCCTTGTTCTCAAACCTTGACATGGGAAACATGTACAGCTCAATTGGGTCAAACCACTTGAATTCAAAATGGTCTGAATTCTCCTACATTTTTTCACCAAACACGAGGAGGGTGGTGTCCACCCAGATTTTGTATTGGAAAGCCATAAAGATCAGCTGATTTGTAAATAAATGTTCTTGAAATCTTGATGTACTGGCGTACTGCTGGGAAAATTGAATGCGATTTTGGAAAATTTTATAATGAAAACGTACAGATTTCTTTATTTGTTTTGAAATGGCTGATTGTATCGACTCAATTTATTTTATTCTATATATGCCAGTACATTTTTTACTATTGCATGGCTAACCTTTCCATCACTGATTAGCATTTCAAATTCAATGAAGAGTTCATTATACCACCCGTGGTTTGAAAAAGATAAAAGCAATTGACAGTCCAAAAAGGTGGCCAAGTGGGCAATTTACATATATCTAGTAATAATATACTCATGCATTTCCCCTTGTTTTTTTTTTTTTTTTTTTTGAAAATTTATTTTACGCTTTGAACTATACTAAATTATAAAATAATTATTTTTTAATTTTAATTTTATAATTTAGTATAGTAGGAAGTAGAAAATACTAACTTTTGTTTTTCTCAGTTCGTTTGCTTAGGAAATGTGTAATTCTTGATGGAGATTACTCTTGCCAACTGGTCATCACTACCTCTACATGCATATCAGGATAACTCATTCATGGTCTTATCAAGGTGACAACTTCAGACAGGTAACTGCACTTGCTTTTTAATATTTTGTTCAACTAACTGCTTTCAGACATAAATCTCTGTTGCTTTCAGACATAAATCACTGGAATCTTTTATTAAGGAGAGTCCAATGAGGTCCTTGTTTGCAAAGGTTAGATAATTTAGGTTGAGGGTCAAAATTTTCCTTTCTTATTTATTTATTCTTTCAATTTGTTTTGTTCTTTAGCATTACATTTTTTTCTTGTTTGCCACAGTTCTTTAACATTGCTGAGTGTGAAGTTTATGATAATTAATAAGAGGACAAGTTTACCAACCTTACTATTAAATTAGATGCTGATTCTTGACCAAGTGACCACTAAAAGAACAAAAGAAACTTGTGATTTGTAAACAATAAAAAAGGGTCAGACATTAAATCTTAAAAGATGTTGAGGTCAAATTTAATTTGAGCCAACGGAGTAGAAGAGAAGCAAATCAAATCAAGCTGTTGTGCAAACTGGAATAATCTAAACAACCAACTACTTTTATTATCCATTATTTGAGAACCATTGATTGCGTCTTGATACAACTTGCTGAGAATTTCTAACATTGTTTAAGAAAAAGACAAAAATTATAAAGAGAATGCTGCAGTATAGAATGCCATAGTTTAGTCCCCACATTTTAAACTATTGATGAAAAAGTGAGCTTTCAATATCAATAAATTTATATTTTTTATTAATAAATATAAAATATGTAGTCGGTACAAGATATATTACATTTTAATTTTTTAAATTATAAAATGGAGGGAAAAAAACAAAGTCACTCCATGAATTATTGCAGCCTATATTGGCTTTTTTTTTTAAAAAAAAAAGAGTTATTAATTGTCTCATAATAGTGTTACTGTTTTCACCGGCCGTAAACCCTTTTCACCTATTGGAAAATTGGCAGTGGATGAATGAATAGGATGGTAGTGTAACCTCCAAAGTTTTCACTGTTTGACTGTGTGTTTACTTGAATGCCATTTTTTACAGAGAAAAGGATTGGAGATTCCTTCCTGCATTACTTATTAGGAGAGCTTTACTTGTCCTCAGAGGATTTCTGTTTTTCTGGTACATATTTTTTTCTTGAGCATGCAGGTGACAGCATCATGCAAAAGCCTCAAAAAATCGATTATCCTGTTAGTTTAAACCATCACAATGTATACAAACCACTGATCCCCTGAAACCCCCTCCTGCTGAGCTCTCCACTTTGCTTGAGACTATGAGCCACATTATATTATAGCTCTCTCTGTCTGTCACTTGTCAACCAAAGAAAACAGACGCCACAGCAGAACTCATCTCAGTGTCTTTGTCTTCTTGTAACTTAACAGTAAAATCACGCTACATATAGTTGATATGTCTATTGTTACCACTTATGGACTTTCCCTGTAATTGAAATTATTGTATGACAATTATAATAATTCCTCTTTCTAATAGTATTGTGAAGTTCAAATTCTACATTAAATTGTATAATATAAAGTATGAAAT